TTACCGTAGATATATAGTAGTTTAAAATTGAACCGTTTCATAGTTGGAATGATTTTAGAAAATTTATTACCATCAGTTAAATCATTAATAAATATTCCGATATCAATATCATCGGATACGAACGATTTTTCTCTATGCCACATTAGTGCAGTTCCAAATGCAAGAAACCAATTAACAGATAGATTCTGAAAAGCACGTCTGGCATCAAATAAACAACGGGTATAGTTATCAGGATAGGAAATAGCAATTTCTTCACGGATTAGACTATCATTCACACTACTTTTTCCTTTTCTAATTATACCATATTGAGTATTAAATAAATAAACGATCAATAAAAATATGAATAAATAACCAAAATGTCTAAATTGGACTGAGGATATGCCCATCCCAGAAGGTAGAATAAATCGTTCACTGCTACTATATCTGAGCTGATAAACCCAACGATCTACAGACAAAAATAAGTTAGCAGAAACAATCCTACTCAATATCCGTCCGTACCTTCTCAAAGATAAACGCTGAGAATAAGATGAGCATATGACTTCCACAACGCTTTTAACCGACTGTTGTATAAGGGTTTGTCGCTCAAGCTTATTTGTTTGGGTTGTCCTCTAGTTACGATTCTATCTAAAAGATCTATATTGAGATAAAGGGATTGAAATATGTGCTCCTGCATCTGTTTAAAGTGATAGCTGTATTGGCGCTATCATTTTTATTGTGTATCACTATGATCTGTTAAACACTTTTTCGGGAATCTACTAGAAACATTTATTTGCGGATGATCTCAAAACTGTTATCTCTTCTTCGGCATACTCGTCATCTTTCTCTCTGATTCTGAACCTAGTTCAACAAGTAACGGATGTTCTTAATCGTCTAATCTATTATTCTGTGATGTGGAAACAATCTATCAGTTTTCAAATAACGTTTTGAATGTTATTTTATCAAAAACTGTACCCTTTCACACCTGATCTTCAATGTCAGGGCCATATCGTTTCTCATGTTCCAAAATTCAAAGATCTTCGCACCATTCTTGATGCCAAACTCACTTTTTCTCACCACATCGACTGTATTGAAGGCAAAACGCGTAAAAATTCTACTATAAAACCTATGCATGCTGCTAGTGATCCTCTATAAAATACATTTTCAATAGCTGGATTCTCAATAGTTGGTTATTTTACATTATCCGGGAAAAGTAATAAACATTCAGTGCGCGCCGAAAGTTTCGTCAGCAAAGTCGTTCATCACACACATAGCAAGAACACAAGGAACAGTGACGCCATTATTATACATAGTACTCACTGGCAATCCATTATTCGTATCCAGCTTGACTATTTCTTACCGTTTTTCAGATTAATTAAGTAATAAAAATTAGTCCACATTTTTTACTAACGCGTGCGGAATAAATGACCCCCTCAGTATTTTCTATTTTTCCCGTATTTCTTTAGGGTCCTAAGGTTAGTGTTTCTATTTAAAAGATGCGCCTCGAAATACCCTACAAAGCCATACTTAAACTTTAATTTCAGAACTTCAATCAAGAAAACTGCACAAATTATACGAAAGACGGAAAAAATGAAAACTTTCCAACTCAAAAATGATTTCTTGCGTTAACATTTTGAAAGCGAGAAAACCTGAATCGGCCATTATATAGTTCTGACTTTGCTGTATCTTTTAGCTTCACTTCAAATTTTTGCACATCAGAACCCGTAGAGAAATAATAATTTTTCTGTCGGTTGTCACGCATTTTTCAATTAATTTTTTAAATTCTGCGTACGATGGTGCTTTCAATAAAAGTCCTATAACTCCATCAAAACAAAAGATTTTTCGATCGAGTTTGTTTTGTTTTGATTAGAAATGATTGCTCTTCTCTACCTAACTGCAAAATCAAAACTTCAATCATGTTTTCCGTTTCTTGCTCGGGCACATTGTTGGAAAGCGGGACTGTCAATTTTTGACGTATTTTTGTAACTTCGTTCTCCAGCACATCATCTACTGTAAAAAAATTCTTTTACAGACCACGAGAAAGAGCACATTCAAAAGTACAAAAAGAACTGCGTTCACACTTTTCTACGCTTTTCTATGGAAACAATAGCTGAAAAGAAAAGTTTAAGTCGGGCCATATTATGACCCGGACAAAACAGGTATGTTCTCCTGGGAGTATTCTAGCTCCTTTTACCCACCCATTTAATAATATGAACAAGAAAACACTTTTCATACAGTTTTGAAAAACACGATAGCAGAGATATAGGACGAGTTTCTTCAACCGATACAATATTAGTTCCTCAAATACGACTTTTTTCCGATTTCCTCATGCGTTCGTTTTTTAACTTCTTTTCGTCACGTAGTGTCATCACTTGTATTTTTCACCGGTTAGCGCTGGAAACCGGTTTTTAAATGTGCGAATAAACAACAACAATATTAGTTTTTGTTTTTGACTATCAAATGATTTTAGCTATATGTCAGTGTGACGGAGTACGGATGCGAGGCGCAAAGGAGTTGAAACACGTTAAAAGAACAAGAAGATGACCAGCTGAAATGAGTTTAATAATGCGAATTGAAATCCCGTCGAGACTAGAAGAATTTTTCCTTTCTCAGAACGAAATTGCGTCTTTATGTGAAATTACAAATTGTGTTTAGTATACAGTTGATAAAAAAAAATAGATAATTATAAGACTTAAAGCCTTTTTGTGCCCGGAATTAAGACAAATTTGTGCCTGTTTATGTTTTTTGTGCCCGGAGACCGATATGTGCCCGGTTTTAACTAGGTTAGGAATAATAATGAGAAAGGTTATAATCATCATTTATTTCCTGTGGCGTAGTGGCACGAATTAACACAAAGGACGGGGGAGGATAAGCGAGTGTCGAGCACCGCAGTGAAACTCAGTAAAACTTACATATTCGGAATCAGTGTAAAACGTCGAACGTCGAAAACATTTTTTCCTCTAAAATTTTCGAAACACATCTTTTCTGAAGCAGAATTTTGTGCTGATGATGAATATGGGATCTAAAGTTAGAAAAAGTAAACATTTCGTGGAGTCGAATGCCAAAAACTGAAGGTTGGTCAAGGTCAGTCCAACTGATAGTTTGCAGGTTTTCACCAAGAAAGAGTCATTCAAAAAACTTGAAACTAAACAATTCTTGGTGAAAATAGTTGCTCTATTCAAATGTGTAAACAAAAATGCAGTGTGAGAGTATTTTGAGCAAAAATACTAAGAAAAAGAGAAAAAATAGTCAAAAATCAGCCACAATCCTTCACTGTGTCGCCTCTGCATTCCAAACGAAATTTTGAACCAATGTGAAACTTACATGCTATACGCAGTTTTTCACGCTGTATTCACCGGTACTAAAATAAAAATCGAAAAAGGTGTGAAACGTTCTTGAAAACGCTAATTGTTGGCCGATTTTTGACTATTTTTCCTCTTTTTCTTAATATTTTTGCTGCATTTTTGTTACATATTTGAATAGAGCAACTATTTTCACCAAGAACTGTTTAGTTTCAAGTTTTTTGAATGACTCTTTCTTGGTGAAAACCTGCAAACTATCAGTTGGACTGACCTTGACCAACCTTCAGTTTTTGGCATTCGACTCCACGAAATGTTTACTTTTTCTAACTTTAGATCCCATATTCATCATCACCACAAAATTCTGTTTCAGAAAAGGTGTGTTTCGAAAATTTTAGAGGAAAAAATGTTTTCGACGTTCCAAAGGGTGACCTTTGCCCTTAAATTCTTCGATAAAAACCTAAATGTGATTTTTGGAAAAGTGAGACGGCTGAAACACTCAGCATTTTACGCTGATTTCGAATATGTAAGTTTTATTGAGTTTTATTGGCGTGCTCGACACTCGCTTATTCTCCCCGTCCTTTGAGATTTTTTCTCACTGTCTTTCTCACGGTCTTTCTCACTGTCCGTATATGTAAAATGGAATGGAAACAAAGACAGTCAACGCAAGACGTTTATTAATAAACTTAATTCTTAGGAGTATCACTTTACTGTTGTTTACCAATAAGTAATAAAACGTATTCGTTATTACTTAGAAACAAGTAATAAATCCTATTATTTTATTACTTTTTTCAAGTAATAATCTTTTATTACTTTACTTATTACTAATAAAAAGAAAAGTAACAACAAGTAATCAGTACAATGATGAAAACTTACTACATACAGAAGTAATAAGTAATAAAATCACAAGATTTATTACCTATTTAAAGGCAATAACTAACAAATGCTTATTACTTTTATCGGATAATGTAATAATTAGTAAATGTAAAGTAGTACTCCTATTGAGTCTCCAAGTCCTAAAAGTTACGATCTCATTTATGAAAGTTTTTACTTTCTAATTAAAACGACGTTAATCAAAGAAACTGTTCTGGCTACGATTTACACATGATAGTGTGCGTGTGTGCTTCTTACGTTGAAAGTGTGGCATTTTCTTTGTTCAACCTTTAACGTCATTTTATGTTCTTAATAAGAAACGTGTTTAATCTCCTATTTCTCTTTAAAGATATTTGATAGGCACAGAATTTGAAATAAATGAAAAATACTATAGTGAGAGAGACTGTTCTTTTATTCAAATTATAATTTTAGTCTTTTCGTACACTAGAATATATGACATAATGTCTTCTCGTTACTTTACTTGACTTTCCTGATGTTTTGGTGACTTATATATAAAAAAAACATTTATTTATTTTTGTTGAGATTTTGTATACGAATAAGGATTAAATAATTAGAAATAAATAAAAAGAAGATATTTTTGCGTAAAAGAAAGACTGTGCTAAACTTACGTAGATTCCTTTGGTTAAGTTGGTATCAAAGGTAAAGAGTTCTATATTCATTATATTTCTAAAATTTTGTTCGTTACATACATATCAATTATGATAGTTAAATTATGAATCAATTGAGAAAACTTCTACCATTTCATACAAAAGAACAACAATTGGTATGTTTAGAAATAAGCGCTTATCTTAATAGAATGTTATTATTGTTATAGGAGCCAGTTGTTGCTGTTGTGAATTCAAATGGTGAAAGTCCAAGAGAAGAATGGGATCGTCCCATCGAATTTTTCTTGTCATTACTTGGGATGTCAGTTGGAATTGGTAATGTTTGGCGGTATCCCTATATAGGTAAGTCGTGCTATCTGCCAAACTTTTAGCGATAATAATAAATGTCATTTTTATTTTATTTTAGCCTTTAAAAACGGTGGAGGTACGTAATTTGTTCATTTATAACAAAAAACTAATTTTATTTTTATTAAGGGGCGTTTATCATTCCATATTTTTGTATTTATTTTTTAATTGGTACACCATTGTATTTCTTAGAATTATCGTTAGGACAATTTACTAGCAGTGGTTCAGCAACAGCATTTAAAATGTCACGAATGTTTAAAGGTCTTGGAAAAAAGAAAATGAACGGTGCTGACTTCTATTGAAACAGAGAATAGCTTTTATGCATTTAGGACTAGGATGGGCTCTAGTAATCAATTCATTTATTGTCTGTATTTATTATAATGTTATCATAGCATGGTGTATATTCTATTTTTTTGCATCATTTCGAAAAAAATTACAGTGGAGTGGTTGTCAGAACAGCTGGAATACAAAACGTTGTACGGAAATCAGTGAGTAAATTATCTTATCTAGATCAGAGACTAAAACGGGTCACAAGAGCCGATCGAAACTTGAATCTGTTGTGATCTGAAATTTTTATAGTTTTGACTTGACAGGATCAGAAAAGAATCTATTCTAGATTTGATTTCAGCTTGAATTTATAAATTTTCTTTTGAGTAAAAAACGAAAATGCTGACCTTTTCAACAAATGTACATAGCATATACCACCTGGAACCAACATAGATCTTTAACCCTTAAAAGCCGAGAGGCGTTTTTTTGACAACGGGAGAAAACTGATCACAAAAGTAGAGATTATGTACTCTTAGTATGTTCATGCTATAGCTAAAAAAAATTAGCTCTTTTCCCATATCGAGATACAGAATGGTCCGTGGAAGGGACATTCCCCGAAACGGCATGAACTTTACGAGTTTTCTTTGCTGAAGCGAAATGAATTCCTCTCATCTGGATATTTATTTTACTATTATCACACAAAGTACTAATCAACACGTATGTTTATAGTTGTTTGAAAGACCAGATTCGGTGCAAAAGAAATGTTTTTTAATATGGTATTCAATTATTTTTGAGCTAGATATTGTGTAAAACAATTTCTATTTGAACTAACGAGGGAAGTACTCCAACTGATACATCGCTTTTTGAACGAAACCTAGTGGACTATAGGTAGTCGACGATGCTGATTCTGAATATCACCATGACTGCTACTGCTAGGCCTTCAAAGACCGGTTTTCTGTAAAACCAGTTTTTGTTCGAGTTATCAGTCAGGGTACTTCCCTCGTAAGACTTATATGAACGTTACAGTTCAAACATTTCCAATATATTCTCCTAGAGCACATTTCATTTTTAATTGTAAAGCTTGGTTTTAGAACTATCCAAGCATCACGTCATCAGCCTTAGGAGGGAAGAGCTTGACTCATGCTTATCCTCGTACTTCCAGTTCAGCGGCACACTCGAATTATTGACAGATCAACGGAGGCGAAGCTTCAAAATGGCCAAAAAGTTGGTTTCATAACACTCAAAAAGTGTCTGTTATTTTGTACGTTTATACAATATTCCATGCTGTTATGACCGAATGTCCCGTCAAAGGAACATTTTTTCAGATGTTATATCATGACAGTAGTTACTTCGTAATTTACGGGCTGTTTTCGCAGGATAGATGAATGTAATGCTCGCCAATATCAGTCACAATAACAAAACTACATCCTGTACCTATGAACAGACTGAACATTCAAAACAAAAGCTTGCATTCAAAAAAATGTTTAATCTTAACAAATTAATTATCTCGCTGAGAAGCCAGTTAAAAGCGTTTTGTGTTTTCAGTCGATAATCTACTAGACTATCTTAGTCGAGACAACTGTCCGTTTTTGGATTTGGGTTTTTGTTACATTTATAAGTTAACTGTTATAATGTCCCTTCGGTCTTAAACGGTTAACTAAATTTGAGGACAGTAGAAGTTTTTAAAATGACGATAATTTTCGTATTTCGCTATTCAGATAAACACAGATTATAATCTAGACAAAGGTTTTTGGTCCCGCATTCGATCTGAAAGGAAAATTTTACGTTGACTCGGATTTCACCTGTGGGTTAATACAGCCTGTTTTGGTCTCTGGTCTAGATATGGAGAAAAACGAAATTAGAACCACTCTGGTATTTTTCATATGGAAAATGCCACTTTCAAAAGAACGTTCAGTCCTAGATCCCAGAGTATTTCGAGTTTCCTTTGTAAGTCTGTTTGTTTGTAGGTACACTTGACAATTTTATTGAACTAAATAAAACGAATATATGTTATAAAAATCAACAAATAAATTGCACGATTCCAGTATTTCCACCGGAAGAATATTTCGAGTAATTCAAACAGCATATTTACTGTTCCCATTGCTGCACTATTTTCTAAACCTTCTTTGTTTCAGTAATTAGAAAACTTCTCAATTTGTCTTTGTTTCAGTAACTATGTTTTGAAACGAAGCGATTCTTTAGAAAATTTTGGATCGCCTAATTGGCAGCTGTCGCTCTGTTTACTTCTTGCTTGGCTTCTAGTGGGATTATGTATTGTCAAAGGAATAAAGTCATCCGGAAAGGTTGGTGTGAATTTTCTGTTTTATCGTTGAATTAGTCACAATTCAGCTGGTTTCTTTATCAGGTAGTTTATTTTACATCATTGTTTCCCTATGTTATTATTTTTGCACTGATTATACGTGGAGCGACCTTACCAGGTGAGATTGAATACCGTAACTAAAAGTTCATATCTCTAATTTATTATTATTCATAGGGGCAAAAAATGGCATACTGTTCTATTTAAAACCGAATTGGCAGAAAATCAAAGAATTTGAAGTAAGAATAATATGTACACTAGATACAAAAAATTTTGAAGTACGTTTAAAGCAGATAAATGTTTTCTTATTAATATTTAAAAAATATTTAACAGAAAAGGAGAAGAAAGTACATTTATTCAAATAGATAATCAAATTATTTATTTGAATAAATGTGCTTTCTTCTTCGCTCCTGTTAAATATTTTTTAAACAGTAGTATACTCTATCTACTCAGTGATTTAAAAACATTTTTTCCCTCAACATAATATTTATAATTACAGAAAAACGAACAGAGTATGTATATCTATACGCGGAAACGTAACTATGAGAATAAAGATTATTTGAAAAAACTATTAAAAAAGAATGCAACTCTTTATCTTAAGGTATGGATAGCTGCAGCGTCACAAGTAACATTTTCACTGAGTGTCGCATTTGGATGCATATTAGGTTACGCCAGTTTCAACAAATTCAATGCTAATTATCTAAGGTTAGAATAAGCTTCTACAAGAACCAATCACATTCAGCGTTAGATCGACACCGATGCTTCTACTTTTTCTTTGAAACATGAAGCATTGTTTTCCCTCACCCCTCTATTTTTGTGTATTAGAGTTTGATTCTTATTCTGTTATGAACTATTAAACTTTAGTGAAGCATTTTGCTTGCTTTTTATCATTAGTATTGTATCTCCCCCTGGGTAAGAAATATAGACCTTTCCATAGTTAAAATGCGGCGTCTTCCAGCACCGAGAGATGCTTTGATCAGAAATGATGACAGTTTTATTAAGAGCCCTAAAATGTGTGTCATACACTAGTGCCACTGTATCTCAAAACCGACTTTTCTTAAGCGGACTGGCTGAAACTCGAGGATTCTGTTTCATCATAAAAGATTCTTCTTTACGTTGACTGAGCGAAGCGACAGGGAGACGTATTTTGTTTAACTTCGCCCATTGCCTAGCAAAACTCTCCTTTCGTTTTACACTATTTTTTCGTTCGAGTTCAGTCACTCGTTCCCAGTTTTCTCTGATCGTATTGATTCGGGAAGAAGATGATTGAAAAATGTAGGGATCGTAGATGACACAACTGAACGGCTTGACCACTTAACGGTACACTTCGCTGATCAAGTTTTTGAAAAATCTTTTCTTGATATCAAAAGTTTTAAACACATGATTAGATGAGAGTTTTTATTCTAAGAACCCGTTTGAAACTCTCTTTTCGAAAAAGTTAATTTTTCATCCAAAAAACGTGGTTTTGAACTTTTCAGAAACCGAATTTTTAATGTTTTAACCAAAAACATTTTTTAAAACAAATTTCTAAAGATATGCTTTTGTAGAGAATTAAATTCTCTGCAAAATGGCGTATTTATTTTTGAGTTTACTTGCTATGTACAATTTGCACATAGTTGTACAGTTTCCGACTTACTGGTCAGCTTTTGAGTTCTTATTTTGATACAGCAACTTGATTTTTGAGCAGATCGATCAAATGTACAAAGAACACAGGAAGTTGTGAAAATCAAAACTTTACCATCGTGTTAAGTGACTCAAATATGCTTGACAAAAAAGTGCGTAACGCAATGACGTTTTTATTTTGCAGCTTTCTCCCTAGCAAAAAGCACTACAAGAAATTTTTTTAGTATCAGATAGCCCGTCGATTACTCTATAAATTTTGCTCTAGAAGTTTCCTTTTCGCATAATTAATTTCACAGGAAATTAAAGAATTCAGAAGAGCGCTCGAAAAAAAAAGGTCTTTTTTCGTAACGCCGTGACGCGACACGATAATCCTTCTCAAAGCCCAATGCAACATCCAAAAACCTTCGTTTTCACAGCATAAGTGAAGCATGATGAACGGCGTCGATTGACATTTGAAAGAACTTTCTAGCTACTTTAGTTTCCGAGATAATCGAAGTTTAGTGCGTCAAAGACGTAGCGCCATGACGTTTGGACAAGCCGTGAAGTTAGTTTCCGGATATCTGCTTTATTATCATATAATTAGTGTTACAAAATGAGCATATTTCTTAGACAACTCTATCGTTTTTCAGAGCTGAGCAAGTAAAGTCGACTTGACATGGTCCAAAATTTTCTGAAAGTATGGCTTAACTTGGTTTGACTTGAGAAATTTTTTCAAGTCAAGTAATTTCTAGTAAGAAGATTCTCGTTTAAATTAGACTTTTTCTACCATGAAAGAGAGTTTCTGAGGCTATAAAAACTCTCTCACCCAAAAAGATGGTAGCAAATTTTATGTTTTGCCTAATTTTAACCAGACTTGGCTTGACTTGGAGGAGAAAATTTCGAGGAGTGACTTGACTTGGGAGAAAGAATTTTCCGACCTTGACTTGACTTCATCTGACTTGAAATCTTTTTTAGTGACTTAACTTGACTTGTGACTTTCCGAAGGGCAGTTGGCTCTTTAGTTGTTTCGTCTGATTTAGACTATTTCGTTCTTCAGTAGTCAAAGTATATCAGTTCTGCTTATATCATATCTGGCTTCTCTCAATTATCAAATTTCAAAGAACATAATCAACGAGTATGCATATTTTCTCTTTTGTAGAGATTGTATTCTGGTAACAGCATGTGACTGTTTTACAAGTGTATGTTATCCGTTCTAAGTGTCTTGATTTTGTATGACTACACCAGGTCAACATTATTACTACACGTGGTATTCTTATCTACTAGGTTTTCGCAGGTTTCGCAATCTTTTCTGTCTTGGGCTATATGTCATTCAAAACTGGTTTACCCATCGAACAAGTGGCAAAAGCAGGGCCCGGGTTGGCTTTTATAGCGTATCCTGTTGCTCTCTCAATCATGCCAGCGGGGCCGGTATGGGCAGTTTTATTCTTTTTAATGTTATTAACACTCGGTTTAGATTCTCAGGTATATCTTCTGTGTTCGTTATGCAATGTACAGTTCACACGTGGTATTCTTATTTATTATTTAGTTTGCTTTCTCGGATGTTGTTATAACAGCTCTACTCGATACGTTTACTAAACTTCGGCAGCATAAAACATGGGTGGTTCTGGCATATTGTATTGTTTGTTTCCTTTTGGCATTACCACTTTGCACACCTGTAAGAATGTTTACGCTGAAAAAGAAATCTATAGCTGTTTAACGGAAAGTTTATCCTATTACTAAAATCAATTCTTGTTGTTTTTATGAATTTAGGGCGGGATATATTTATTTGTAAGTACCGATTGTTCTCATTACTCATTCAATGCCACTTTTATGCAAAGTTCCTCTCAATTTAATGCAATCCAAAAGAGAAGATAGTTTAAATGGAAGACACTGTTAGAAAACGCAAAAAGTGTCTTCCACTTCCATACATGTCAGGCCGATGAACGAGAAAGAGATGTGCCTAGCCGGAAATATGGCTCCTAATGCCAGAAAATGCTGCATTAGTTCTCTGTTTTTAAACCCATCTCTACAATTTCCGTAGCAACGCTGCGGTACTTGACGGAAATGGATTTGATAAACAACACACTTTCTATCGGATGATTTAGTACAAAACTCTGTTCTACCCTTGACCGACTCTGAGTGCTGCGAGATATACTTTCTGGACAATATTGTAAGCCCTTAGTTTGAGAGGAACTTCATTTTGCAATCGCTCGGTACACGTTGATAAGCTTATTACTTTTTGAGACATTGATGAATGAATATTCTGGAAATTTATCGGTTATTGTATGCGCATTTTTTGAGTTTGTGGTAATTGGCTATATTTACGGTATGGTAAATAAGATAAAATTCTCTGTACCATACTTGCTTCTATTTTTATTGTTTTAAAGGTTTCAATAATTTTATGGAAGACATTCGAATGATGTTGGGTAAAAGACCATTGGAGCCATATTTGTTTTTCACTTGGACAATAGCAGGACCACTAATCACACTGGTATGACCAAAGATGGAAGGAATATTGTAGTCCTTTCCCGTCAAAGGCTAAATAATATGTAAAGGAGATGTGTAAGGCTTTCATTCGATCATGTCAAAAATTATTCAGAAATTTTCAGCCTGCTCCATACAGTGGGCATTTTTTTATAGAACAGGCAAAAATGGGGTTTTCTCAATTCAAAAGAGGCTATTTTCTTTCAATACTACTTTATTACTTACGTTTTAAATGTTATTATAAATTTAAAAAACCCGAATTCGAAAAAAATGTTTTAGACGAAAAATGCCTGAGAGGGATCCTTGCCTAATTTTTGTCGAAAAACTTTTTATTCAAAAGATGAACAAATTATATGTCATTTGATGCAGCTTCATTCAGAAGAATAAGGGAAACAAAGACAATAATAGTAACCGAAAGGTACATAAATTTACAGGTGAGAAGAACATGGTAGGTTTTTAAAAAAGTTTTAGTACAGAATCTCTCTTCTACTGGCCCTCTTCTAAGAAATTTTTTTCTAAATATGGAGTAGAAACGGAAACCCTAGAGGGATCCTTTCTGTAAATGTGGATAAGCCGTTTATCAGATGCTTACATATTGACTTAACAAGGTTCTGCATAGAAGTTCTCAGCATTCAGAACGAGAAGTATAGGGCGCTTATCTGTATCCGTATTTCATAGGGCTTATCAAAAAATGCTTGCCACTTTCATATTCGATGCTTATGAGAGTCTTATAATATGGCAACCATTTTATGATAGGCCTTATAAAATTTACAAAAAAACATTCCTCTGAGGAAGATACGTGTGTTCTATTTCCTTGTGTAATTTTACATGACACGGATCAAAAACCTTCCGACAACATTTTCCTTAGCCTACTCAATGTTATCATTTCTATCACGAGTTATCGGTCACGTTTTCAATAGGAGGAAGCTCGAAAGTTCGGTATTTATTGGATGTTCCAAAACAAGATTAGCCAGTTCGTTGTTGGATGAACATATATTACTATATTTTGTTTAGATCGTTTTCTTTTCGTCAGTAATTCGATTTAAGACACCGACCGAAGGAGATTATGTTTATCCCTCTTTTGCAAATGCGCTTGGTTGGTTAATGGTTGCTGCATCGATTATATTTATACCGGGTGTCATGATTTATGAATTAATAAAAGCCTGGAACATTACTCGACAGCCGGTAAATAGCGTATTTTTAAGATTTAATTGTATAGTCACAAAAGCCTTATCATTTGATTGTATTAAGTGATCTGAGTAAGAATAATATTTGTGAAATACAGACACACTCTAAGTTTCTTACCAAGTCTATCAGTGGGTCAACAAATGCCTCGCTAAGCCAGTTGTACATTAACATTTACTACCGTATGCAGACGCTGCTATAACGCCTCCGGGGATGGAATGGGCAGAGCTTTTGTTCTAAACTTTCACTTCTCTGTTTAACTAAAGTTCAGCCAGGTGTTTCATAAACCTGCTACTTCCTGAACACCTCTTTCTCAAAAGTAGCTCTTCCACAAAACTATGTCTTCTATATGTCTTCGTAGTGTTTTTTAAAAAAGCAGTTTGTATTGTCTTCTACGACAAAATACTTTGAAGTGTTTTTAAAACATGTTACAGAAAACTAAAAAAAGTCATCTTTTTGACGTGACTGAATGTCTTACAAGAAGACATCATAGAGCCAGATTGTTTTTTGGTAGTGCAGAAGCATTTCTGGTTTCCAGATTAATATTTCGAGACAGATTTTGCGTTTTTTTTTATTAGCTAGTGTACAGCTAAAGCCCTATAAGGATCCTTTATGTATGAAAATACGTGTAATATATAGTTTTTTCAATTTCTAGTCTGACACTGACAGTATGCCACATTATCTTCGAACGTTAAAATATGTGAGTATGCCATCGAAAGACTGGGGGCCCGCGAAAAACAAAGACAAAATTGATCGTTATTGTGGTAGAAATCAAAAACGATCATTACCACTAATAGATTCATTATCTTATGTAATTAACTGCAAATATACTCATCCGACACAAAATACAAATGGAACTACAAATTTTGCATTTATTAAAGATGAAGAGTGTTCTCGGTTATAAAACTGATATGCTTCAGTAAAAGGACTATCGCTCTCAAAACATCAGTTTAATCAGCTTTGATTTGTTTTGTAGTTAAATGAAATAAATTTTAGTAAGCCAGTTTGTAAATAACGGGCCTTTCTAGAATAATTGATATATTTACTGTTAAAATCTATAACGTGTACATGTGAGAAAGTGGAAAACCGCAGGCTTCTAGCACGTTTCGTTCAAACGGTATTCAGCAAACATCCACGTGGCTTATATTTTCAAATGGATAGTAGCAGTTGTGCACAATCGCTGGAAAATTTATGCATTCACTGATAATTCTGCATATTTCCTCAGTAAGGTTGGAAACAGTCAAAATAAACTTCTAGGCCAACTGGCGCTTAATTAACGTTTCAGCGACTGATTTCCCACCAATCCCCGATAAAGCTGTGATTTTAAAATCTAGAATAAATACTTTGTTGATGATTCCAGGCTGTCAATCCTGCATCGGTACACTACTTGCTCTCCTTCCATGTGTAGTAGACTTTTCTATAATTTGTACATATGACACATGCAGTGATAGACTGATCATTCGAAAGAAACTTTATTTAGCGCTTTCTCTAAGTTTATTGGGAGATGTAACGAAGCTAATGTACACATTCTCTAGCGAGTATGCACAGTCACTAATGTTACATTTCTCCACAACATACATACCAGTTTGCGGCCAACATTTTATTTTTCAACAAGTTGTACACTCTCCCAATGACATTTCAAACTTATTTCATCAAAAGTTTCATTTGTTACAGTGTACAACTATAAAATTTTGCTAAGTAGCAACATAGAAACTTTAGTACAATTGCGGCTGCAATGCCCTTATTTTGGCTTAATATGATTAAGAGTTTCAAAACTCTTAAAAACAAAAAGCAACAAAAAAACAAGAAAAAAGAAAACTCTTAATCATGGTAAGCCAAAATAAGGGTGTTGCAGCCGCAATTGTACTAAAGTTTTTATATCTACTGTTGCCCTTTGATACTGAGAATGTTAGCAACATAGCCTTTCGAAGAGTAATCCCGTTCACCACCTTCAGATGATACTTGAAATTTTGTTGTTTTTCTCAATCGATTTCTCAGTGTCTTTTACAATATAGTAAAAAACATAGACCTCTATCTTTTTTCTGTTTTCATGTATTTTCTATCAGAAGCTATTCATAAAAGAACTCTATTTGGATAGTCTGGATAGTTAGTTCTATTTGGATAATCCATAGTTCTTGCTGAGAGAAACTTCTTTTTGAAAATCTATTAAAAACTACATTAAGGTTTGATAGTGCTGTAGATGTTATAGTGATGATAGGCGATTTAGACTTTTAGGGATTTGTTATTTGTTCTATTCTAGTTAGTGCTCTTCCTCAATTCTAACTTGTTGATTTAAGTCTAAATTGTCGATCACGCCATAACATCTACAACATCCCACTTAATACCATCACAACTTCCTCAAAAACTATTTCGTTTGCAGAAAATTCTTTCTCCAAATGACGATGGCTATTCAATTCTAGCATCTCGGCGAACGAGAAATATATCTGTATGTACCACTTTTACTCCACATTTTTGAAATAAGCTTTCATTTTCGATATGACGTCGAAGACTATCAATACAGGCACAAAAAAGTCTAGAAAACGAACAAAACAGCAAACATGTCTCACGTAAGCAAAAGTCGTTCTTGTTCTCGCTTAATAAAAAACATTAGAAGTTATTAAGGGCCACCCCTCCCCCCCTCAGAAGTTATCTCCGGCACCATACATCCGATCTTGACGAAACTTTCCGTAAATGTTCGGCACAATGAGTTATGGGAATGAAAAGATTTATTTGCCTCCACGTCTTACGGTTTAATAGTTTTCCAGAGATCAAGGCCCAAAAAGGACCCTGAACGGCGTCCCAAGATTTTTTAACATACTTCAAGCTGGAGAGTTCGGGTTTGTTTTATTTTAAACTATACACAGACACGTTCAGTATATTATTATATAGTCAGATTGAAAGAATGAAATAAAAATTTCGAATTTCATTGGTGAAAGCAACTTTTATAGCTTTTATGCTTTTACAGCTTTTACACCATCAATTCACTTTTTAGAACGTCAAATTAATCGCGAATGTATATTTTCCAAGCTATGTCGGCCGATATCCGGTCTCGGATATCCTTAACTCGAATATTTATATGCGGATATTCCTATTTCGGATATCCGCCCATCTCTGCCATTGGTGGAGATGCTCTAGAATAAGTTTAAAACTAATAGAAACTTTCCAAAGAGAAACAATTCATGGTTATTATTCTACACAGTATAGAAATTGAAATTACTCTTTTAATTCACATACATCATATTTTAGACGAAGGTAGAAAATTCTGATGGATAAGTCTTACTGCTGTTGAACATCATCAACTTACACCATTCTACCATACTCTGATGTACAATAGAGAGAAGGTTCATTGGTAATCAATGACAGAAATCCAGTAGTCATAGCTAGCAAAGAGATGCACTCGTTTTTGAATCATGAATCGTCTTGAAAATGTTCGTTTACAAATGTGAAAAATAATGAAAAAATAAAAAACATCTTCGCGTTATGGAAAACTATCCTAAAACAAAATATTTTTCAAATAAAACTATGTGCATTTGACAGCTCGTAAAAGGTTATCTATAGATATTTATTTTTTGTTAAAAAATATCCGATACAAACAGGTGAAAACAAAACAATACTCATCATTCGTTACGCGATGACATTATGAACGGCGACGTTTTACTCACGATCCATAAAAAAGATATATTAATGCTTTTTGACTTTTTTACGTTTTTAATGAAGCATAGTATATTCAAAATTATAGAAAAGAATTTAAGGAAAATGATTTTACATACAAACAGCAAGCTTTCGACACTATCACAGTATCATCAGCAGGCGAATGACTTTTGAGAGAGAAGAGAGACAAATATATATAGAGATTTTTCTACAAGGAATTTTCTAGTTCTAGTTTCTCTATTTTTCTACTTTTTCTTTTTCTTTCTCGCCCAGTTGAAGATGACCGTCTTTAGCGATATATCATTGTAGTCGATGCTGTGGCCGACATGACTCGTCGCTTTGCTAACTAGTGTAAACAGTGGCGGTCATATAATTTCATTAACTCTCTATGAGCTCAGATTCTTGTGAATACAATCTGAAGATAAGTTCGTTAATTTTCTGTGTTCAGTGTCTCAAAAAAATCATTCTGACATTTTCCATTCGTGTAACGACATGGAGGTCTTCAGAATTCCATTATGACGAGGATAATAAATGGAAGGTTTGCCATTTTTTTCGTTGTTTTCCTTATATTCTTCACGCCATTACGCATGTTCGTCTCCATATCTTATGCCGCCGC